GAGTTTTCAGTGAACAAGCGAAAGAATTATTCTGCGTTCCTACTGTCTGCTGTAAGCCTTGATGTTGAAGAAATGAGAATAACACGTGGCACTGCACTGGCCTGCTCATCAAGTTCATATCTTGCTGGTGTGCGAGCGGGGATGTAGAAGAGAGAGAGAGAGAGAGAGAGAGAGAGAGAGAGAGAGAGAGAGAGAGAGAGAGAGAGAGCACACACTCTCAGCTGAGCCACCCCAAAATAAGTAATGACCCGTATCCACGCCTCGAGGCGTAATGAGCATACATAACTAAACCTATATTTAATCGATCGACAAACTGAAACTTGCTAGGTGATGTGTATCACGCCGCCTACCTTTATTTAGCAGGACATTTCCTGGTACCCACTTAATGCTGGGTCGACCTGGGAGTCAAGGTCATTAAAAAAAAATGTCCAACTATGGATTTGAACCCACAACTTTGGGATCCGCAGGCGGGCCTCTAGCCGCTACATTAGGACGGCTGCCCGAAAAATAAGCAAGGGGAAATAATGTGAGAAGTAAAGGCAGCCGGTCTGGGTTTTTTTCTTCCCCTTTCGATGTGTTTTCCGACGATTGCGATGTGAATTCATTTAGTGATAAAAGCTAGATAGCAGATGCTCCTATTTCCGTTGCTGTTCAAACTGACCGATGGTTACTTTTTTTTTAAGTATCTAGAAACCATGAGTTGTAAACATACAATCGGTACTCGGTACTATGGATATGGCAACCCTTTGGCTTAGATTCCATTATAAGTACCGTTAATCTGGGAGAAATGTAGCTTTTCTGCCTACCCCCTGGAGTAAACCCGGACCACAAGGAGTTCATCACCCGGTCACCACGAAAGTCAGGTTTAACCAACTACGCTAGAGAGCCGAGCGACCAGTTACGTTTCAGGGGATCTACTTCAGTGCACTGTTCCGTTGCTTTGATAGAAAAACACAATCGTCAAGTTCAGTCAGCATCCCCGAAGGGGGAGGTTTAGGTTATAATTGTGACTAGGTTATGGGCGCCATATAAAATGGGCTTAGCTTTGCTTGCCACCAAGAGCCTGAAAAGAACTCCTGCAGTGTTGATGCGATCAAAGAAGACTGACCCAAATACTGCCCCGACCTGAGACGAAGTCCGTGGGTGACCCAGTCGCAGATGTGTGTGAACTGTTTTTTTTTTTTTTTTAGGGGAGTAAAGAAGTGGTAAACATAGGACGAGCAGCTAAGAAAATCTGCAATCTGAACTAAACAGATACGGACAACGAAACAACCCAGAGTTTGAGCTACTCGTCCGCTTACAAGGAACTTCCAAAACCGTCGTGTTAACACACGAAATGCTTGTTAAAGACTTCCTATATCCCAGTGTCCTCATTGCCAGGACTCTCACCAAAGAGACATCAATTAACAGCCGCTGTAGATCTTGTCGGCTTCCCCAAGTGTCCCGACAGATGGCGGGTGTTGCTCGCCTCGCACCATCCATCACGCTGTGCCACGTTGGCACTAGACAAAGCATGGTGGATGTGTTGTTTTCTGGCTGTTGAAGGCAGAGAGAACTTGGCAGCATCTTCTTGATGTATGGCTTGTTTAGTGCTTCACGGGTCGTCACTGAGTGCTTTAGCAGACTTCCATTTGTTAAACTTTATCTTTTTTCCTCTTTCCTTCTTTTCGTGTATGTGCATGATTGTTTAACCCCCCCCCCCCCCCCCCTCCCTCCACTCCCCACCCTGTCGGGAAAAGAATTATTTTCAGAAAAAGAAAAAAAAATTTAGCAAAGGACCCTTACTACGCTTTCATAGGTGTTAGGCATATAGGGCTAGACCTATATTTGATAGACCTATCGGCACTTTATGGGTGAAATGGTAATCATCACGCCGGTCGCCTTTACTGCCTACGACTTTTACCTGGTACCCACTCAAGGTTGGGTTGACCTGGGAGCCAAAATCATTTTTGAAAACATTCCGGGGACCCAAACTCATGACATTCTGATTCGCAGGCGAGCTTCTAGCCGCTACACCACGGCGGCCCCAGAATAAAGTCTCCTTGCAGGCTCCGGGGTCCCATTGTAGGGAAAACAAGAATAGACCCAGTGTCCCCCTAACAAGCTGATTAGGGGCTTCCGTTGAAGTCAGAGTACATTTGCCTAAGATACCAAGAACCAACAGTCTGCATACGCATAAGCCAGATCTGTTAAACGGATGTGCATGCGGAACTGAGGTTCTGAAACAAAACTCATGTCTAGAGTTGGCCGAACAACCAGAACTGTGTAAGTGGGGAAGACTCTTCTTATTGCGAGCGGGCTTTGGTAGTCACACTCGCCTCGCCATGGCCTGAAGCTGGGATTTCCACGCTTCCACGTAGAGCAGTGGTTCTCATCGTTCCTAATGCCGTGACCCTTTAATACAGTTCCCGTATGTTGGGGCCACCAACAAACAATTAATTTCCTTTAAAACTTCAATGAATATGTGTTTTCCGGTGGTCTTCAGTGACCCATGCGAAAGAGTCGTTCGACCCCAAAACGGGTCGTGACCCACAGGTTGAGAACGGCTGTTGAAGAACAACGTAAGATTATCATCTGGAAAAACCGAAAGGTGTCGTCAACAAACGAGAGCGGTATTAGTGGTACTTGTGATAACTGTAAAGGTGAGAGTGTAGTAGTAACAGCAGTAGTAGTAGCAGGAGCAGTAGCAGCAATAGTAGCAGCAGTAGTGGTGATGGTAGTATGGATTGTTACAGAAGCAATAGAAGAAGTGATATAGAGTAACGAGACGATAGTCCGTGCCGACAGTGGAGCTCTTAAACTTCTCTAATTGTCTCGAAAACTCCTGCACGAAACAAAGCCAATTTTTGTAATATGGTTTTCAGTTTCCCATGTTTTGATGATTTCATAATTGACAATTTCGCAGGTGCTGCTGTTTTCTTACAGCGTCGAATTTCTTTTATCTTTGTCAGACTAATAATCAGTGTATCCTTGAAAAGAATATACAATAATTGACCCGGATCGATTACTTTTTGTGAGGCAATCAACAAGCATTATGACGGTACATGACGTATCCACGTCACTATTTAAAATACGCCCGCCTTAGTGTTTCGCACAGATGATTACCTCTAAAACAGGGGCAGTTTGATGTTTTACCAAGTTCGCGTCAATCCGTTTACTGTAAACATCTGCTTTCAGTCGATGTCTGATTTCTCAATTTTGCGACAAAGGAGGCAAAATAAATACTAGATGTTCACATTATATATATATATATTTTTTTTTTTTTTGCAACCTGTTTTTAACCGGTTGCGACCAAACTTCAATAAGTTACACTGAATTGAGTTATAACATTTTAAAGTTGAGGTTTTTGAACAGACTATGGCATGTAAATGAAACTGCAGACAGAAAAAAAAAACATTCTTTTGTGTTCGACAACCTTCCACAACAAAGAGCAATGCGAGACTCTTTTTAAGCGTAATAATGGTGCAAGCAATCCAGGAGATAAACATTACATTTCTTTTCCTTTGATGACTGTAATTTTAGATCACGTGCACTGTTGTCTCTGGGTATTATCTTTACATTTTTGGTTTAGAAGAAAGACTTTGATCTTCACCGTATCTACCCACAAGACATAATTAATTGTTCTGATCATTTGGCACTGTTTGTAAGAAATACTGTATCTTCTACTTATCTGAGTCATGAAAAGGGATGGAGAGCAAAGGTGGGGAAAAAGGGGGGGGGGGGGGGATTTGCTAGTTATGAAGGGATCTAAACTGTCAAAGGCCTTATCCTTCCTGACGTTTCTCATTACATTTTCTGTGTAGTTGAGCAAGTATGGGGAGATAATGCAGTTCTGTCTTACTCCCTGCTGCACCTTAAACCGGCTCTATGTTTCACCAGCTGCTCTGACAGCTACTTATAGAAGTGATTTGCTTAATTTCTTTCCCTTTCTGTTTCTTTATTTACCTGTTTCTCCTTCTTTTTCTTCCCCAACTCCATCTTTTGCATATTTTTTTGTCCTTGGTTTTCATCTTTCCTCTGCATCGTCCTCAAGAAACAATATTTAAGCCATCAGAACAAACAGAGCTGGCGGCTTCTCAAAGTGGTATTTTTTTGGGCCATTTGATGTTCTTTGCTTTCCCCTAACCTTCTTATACCAAGACATTCCAGTATAGATTCATCTCCTTTCTTTCAGCTCTGTTCTTGATCTACCTTCATCCTTGTCTGTGAAACTTTTTGTTACTGTGCTTTTATTATTGTATAGAATTCGTGATAATGTATCTACTTTCATTTTTTTTTCAATCTTAAACGTAATTGTGTGTCTGTTTCTTTCTTTTTGTTTATTTTTGCATTTGTGTTCTATATGCACATATCGCATATATACCTTTATCCATGCCCAGAATATTCTTTTATCCATGCACAGTATGTATTTTCAAGCGCAACCCCCCCCCCCTTTCCTCCCCAACAACCGCCTAATGCTTTCTTGGTAACGGCGCCCTTGATCAGCGTTGGATATAGTCTATAGCATCAGCTTGATCCTAGCGAGCTTTCATGTCCGCTTTAGTGGTTCGACGCCTAAAGGAGAGAGAGCGGCCAGTATATCAGCGTGTTCCTTTTTCCACACGCCAGAATATCCTGGACAAAAAATCTATGAGCATATTTTACTGGGTGCTTATTATTTACTTGGTGTGTGGTTCCGGGATCCCATTGTGAAGAAAGAGGGAGGTGGGAGACCACAAAAGACCCACTGCCTACTCATCAAGCATGTCGTAAGAGCTGATTAATTGGAAGCTTTCTTCGAAGTCTGAGTACATCCGTCTGAGAGGCATACAAATGAGTCAGACCTTTAAAATGGATGTGCACGCAACACTCAGGTTCTGGGACAGGACTAGAGTCCAGAAATGGACGAACAGTCAGAACTTGACGCTGGAGTCTACAACCGGTAAACAAGGAAAAAATACTATATATAATATTAGTACATATTTGACCATTAATTGAATGTGCCTGCTTTTTCCCCCCAGCCAAATTCATTTAGCCGGCCAAGTCTGCCCGCCTCCGCATCAATGGAAGGAGACCCGGATGTGGTCAACCAGCAGCTGCAACCAGTTCTCTTCCAAAGCTTTCAGCAGTCACAAGTAGGTGGAGATTGATCACAACTGTCGTTGTTGTTGTTGTAGTCATCATAATGATTGATGCTTCTTCTTCTTTGTTCACCGGCTGTAAGCTGTGACGGCTCATTCATTTAGTCTTTAGCTTTGTGCCAGGGTTTGAGTTTTACGTGTACATCCGTTTTACTGGCTTATTTGTGTGCAGTTGGTTGTTCCTTGTAGCTCCGGCAGATGCACTTCGACTTTGATGGAAGCCCCCCCCCCCCCCCCCACAACAAATTAGTCGACTCCTACGACATGCTTGCTGGGGAGGCAGTATATCTATATTTGTTGTTCCCACAATGGGACCTCGGAATCCACACGGAAACGCTTATGTGAAACGAATAAGATAAAAATAGAAGCGAAATTTGTAGAAATAATAAAACAGGGGTAATAATCGTTGTATTGGTGGAAATGATAATGAAAAATAACGTGGGTGGTGATAATATTAGTGGTAGGAGTAAAAATGCAAAAGATCCATAATTAGTAACAATAGAAGATCGATTAAAATAAAAACAATAGAAATAAAAAAAAAGTAAGAATAAATTTATTTTATAAGGGTGTGCTGAATATTGATACCTCCTGGTCTCAGGATAGCTACCCTATGTTAAGGTTCTGAAAAGACTAAGAGTGAAAAGAGAGTGACTGGAGGAAATATACATATATAGTAAAAGTAAAGGTCCTTTTTGCACGTCGTTAGGTGTACTGGGAATTTAGGGCTCAACCTATATTTAATAGACCAGTCGGCACTTGGTGGGTGATGTGGTCAGTATCACGCCGGCTGCCTTTACTTCCCAGTACTGCACCTGGTACCCACTCAAGGCTGGGTAGGCCTGGGAGTCAAGGTCATTTTTGAAAGAAAAAAAAGTTCGTCTCAGTAAGGACGTGAACCCACGACCTTCCGATCCGCAGGCGGGCGTATAGTCGAAAACAGCACGGCGACTCCCATTTATATATATATATATATATATATATATATATATATATATATATATATATATATATATATATATATATATATATATATATATATATATATATATATATATATAAATCAATGTTTATGTGTTTGTTTATGAGCTATAGACTTGGAAACTACTGAACCGAGCTGAAATTTTCAGGATATGTTTGTTTTGATACCGGATGTTCACCCATCATGGTTTGAAATTCAACCTATCATTGTTAAATATAGTGTGCGACAATTTTTTGGAAAATCTTCGAAACTAATATTTACATTTTTAGTGACATTTAATTATAGCCACGTTAGTAAATGCGCATGCTCTGTAGTCGGAAAGCAAGACTTCCACCATTCGCCGGCGAGAAACGTACAGCCAGCGCCTTCTCTAATAAATAGAGTAGGTCGTAACAAGACTATCTCTATATCTGTGCAGGCAATGATTGCCACAATAACCATATTATTTCAAACAACCTTCGATGAGTTGGAAAGTAGCCGATGGATTGGAAGGGAAAGAGGTGGGAAGGGGGGGGGGCATCAAGGCCTATCTCGACGTCGGCGCAGACATTGACTGCGACATTAACCGTGTTAGACACGTGCGATTTATATAGTTGTGCCGTTTCAATAATATATCTGGAATGTCTGTCTATGAGAAAACAATTGCCTGCTGTTTTGAGTTGTATTATAATCGGGACACTGTAGTAGGAACACACATCTAAAATAGTTCTGTTTTCTTTTCGTTTCTCCGGTGAAGTGGCTGCTTGGTCGAATAGTTAGAACATTGGGCTCCAGTCCAGGAGACCAGGGTTCAAAACCGCAGTAGTTTTTTTTTAAAACCTGGGGCTAAAATAAAATCCTCACCTGCACTGTCGTGGCGACAGCACTAGCGACGTGGCCCTTAATACTAAAAAAAAAAAAAAAAAAAAAAAAAAAAAAAAGGACAGGTATGTGGGTAACAGTTGATAATTAAATTTGACCTTTTCGCATACTTATGATTTCATTTTTAAACTTTACAATTGCATGGTTACGCTGACATTTCATAGCTTTCCATTTATTTTCATTTAGATTTAATTATTTCATCTGCGTTGGAATTTTAAGCTGTGCTGTTTACCATAGCGTTCATTTCCTAATTATGGTGTATTTTTCCTGTTTTCAATTGCTTTTGAATTGTTTTTTTTTTCTCCCAACTACTTCAATGAGGGAAAGAGTAGTCGGTGGTCGTGGTAGTAGTTGTACTGGTACTTGAAGGATGATGTGGTAAATATTACACTAGCCCCATTCACTACCTATTACAATTCCTGCTCCCCATTTTAGTCCGGATGGACAGGGATGTCAATGTCAGTTACAACAACAAAATATCGCCAGGTGATGATTTTCAAATCCTTCGAAGAGGGAGAGAGCAGTAGTCGGTGGAAGAGGGCGGGGAGGGGGGGGGGGTGTAATGACCTAAATTTAGGAGAACTTAAAGAGCTTTACACGTGATTTTCAAGTTCTCATTACTTGTTTATATTTTACTAACGCTACCTCCGCTATTCAAAATTTTTTTTTACGACTGACTTTTTTATTTACAAGTACAGCTCTGGCTTTACTTCCGTCTCCTATAAAAATACAAACAGCTTTAGCATGTGATAACCAAATAACCATTTTTGTTACTGTGCTAATAACACCATTTAAACGACCACTAATATAAAGACACAATTATATGGTGCGTTTTCCATTGTCTTTCTTTTCCAAAAACCTTTGATGAGGGAGAGTAGTAGGTGGATTTAGTTGTGGTGGGGGGAGAGGGGGGGGGGAATCAAAGACTATTTCTATATCTGAGCAGACAATGATTGTATTAGACACGTGCGATTTCTATTTTCTTTCATTTCCATTTAGCCAAACTATGCCACAGCAAGGCGTGGCCGGGTACAGCTAGTATATATATATATATATATATATATATATATATATATATATATATATATATATATATATATAGAGAGAGAGAGAGAGAGAGAGAGAGAGAGAGAGAAACAAATGAAATATTTTGCAGTATTAAGAATATAATACTTGTAAAAAGCATACTCGAGGCAGTCAGCGATACAAGCAAAGGATAACACCAAGAGATAAGAAAACAGCAGTCAGAGAGAGTATACACCCAGGGCGACAGAACGAGTGAGTGCCTGAAACACACTGCAGCCAACTTTTATCATTGATTGATTAATCGGAAATGTGTTTTCCGCTTTCAGCAAGGCCATATAAATCAATTATTGTCTTTTCTTACAGACTGTTGTGCCATACCATGAGGACAGTGTCAGTGACTCGTCAGCCGACTCTCCCACCAGTGACAGTGGTCGCGGGGCGAGTGATGATGATATCAGTGCCACTGCTGTTACCTTAGGACACGCAGGAGGTCAGTCGCGCATTTTCACTGTTTTAGATGTTGTTCTTAAAAATAATATCCCTTCTCATGTTATTTATTCCTCTTTCTTCTTTCCTCATTCTACCTTTCTTTATTTTCCTTTCTTTTTCATTTCTTCTTTCTTCCATCTTTCTTCCTTCCTAAATTTTTTCTTTCTTCTTCTTCTTCTTCTTCTTCTTCTTCTTCTTCTTCTTCTTCTTCTTCTTCTTCTTCTTCTTCTTCTTCTTCTTCTTCTTCTTCTTCTTCTTCTTCTTCTTCTTCTTCTTCTTCCACTTCTTCTTCTTCTTCTTCTTCTTCTTCTTCTTCTTCTTCTTCTTCTTCTTCTTCTTCTTCTTCTTCTTCTTCTTCTTCTTCTTCTATATTTTTTCTGTCTGTCTGTCTGTCTGTCTGTCTGTCTGTCTGTCTGTCTGTCTGTCTGTCTGTCTGTCTGTCTGTCTGTCTGTCTGTCTGTCTGTCTGTCTGTCTGTCTGTCTGTCTGTCTGTCTGTCTGTCTGTCTGTCTGTCTGTCTGTCTGTCTGTCTGTCTGACTGACTGTCTGTCTGTCTGTCTGTCTGTCTGTCTGTCTGTCTGTCTTTCTTTCTTTCTTTCTTTCTTTCTTTCTTTCTTTCTTTCTTTCTTTCTTTCTTTCTTTCTTTCTTTCTTTCTGTGTGTCTGTCTGTCTTTCTGTCTTTCTTTCTTTTTTTCTTTCTGTCTTTCTTTCTTTCTTTCTTTCTTTCTTTCTTTCTTTCTTTCTTTCTTTCTTTCTTTCTTTCTTTCTTTCTTTCTTTCTTTCTTTCTTTCTTTCTTTCTTTCTTTCTTTCTTTCTTTCTTTCTTTCTTTCTTTCTTTCTTTCTTTCTTTCTTTCTTTCTTTCTTTCTTTCTTTCTTTCTTTCTTTTTTCTTTCTTTTTCCTTTTCCTTCCTTTTTCCTTCCTTCCTTCCTTCCTTTCTTAATTCTTGACCTAATCCAGTCTATTATTTCTTTCCTTTGTTCTTTTTGTAAATTATTTTGCCAGTTGCATTAAAAACATTCTTTACTGACCTGCAATTTTGTCTAGTTCACACTTGACCTCAAGTGAATTAATTTTTGTTCCAGATGACCGAGCTATGATGTCAGCTGAATGCCAACAGCCCTACAAAACTTCCTTTGGACACAACCCGAACCCCAACCCCAGCGCTAAACAGCACAGCAGATCCAGCCAGCGAAAACACGTAACTTTCAAGGACTCAACCCATGCACTGAGTACGGGAAAGCAAACCAGTGCTTCAGACTGTTCTAGTCTGCCAAGGAACGAAGTTCGACTTGCAACTACTAAGTCTTCAAAGTTGTTAGAAAGTCCCTCACAACAGCCAATCATCACGTTTAGCAACAGTAACAGCTGCGTCGAAAATCAGCCTAGAAACAACAGCGCGGAGAATTATATCCGAAACAACAGTAACCCTAGAATAGAACAACAGTTCACAAGTTTCACAGGGTATTCGCCAGTACAAAACCGCCCAGCGACTACCATACAAATGTTTCATTCATAAAGGAATGAAGTTTAAGGATTTTTCGTTTCATGGACTGGCAGCATAACACATACTCCAACTAAACATTAACTTCTCTCGGGACTAAGATCTTTATCTGAGCACTCGGCCACGTGTTCGCGGAACTACTGACGACTACTTTATCAAGAGCCTCAGTGGTAAAGAAATTAGAGACTGTGTCTGTGGAGGCAGTGATTCCGGTTTCCATCCCTAGATGTGGTCCTCTTTTTCCCTCTTGGGTAGCCTCAGCTTCAAAAGAAATGGTTACCGCATTATCTTGCATAATTTTCTGGAAATTATCTAGGAAAGATAGCAGTCGAGTAACATAACATGCCAGCTAACCTCCAATGGCGAAGGGTAAACAATTCGCATGTGTAAGGGTTAGCAGTAAACGATTACGCTAAAGAGTGTATCGCGTGATATTTGACCTCATTGCTTCGCCAGTGAGAATATACGAGCTCAGCTAGCATCCTAGTAGTTGTAACTGGTAGTGTTTACACGTTACAATTTTTGTATGAGTTTTGAATGCATACAACGAGCGCTCTCTTCGCTATGTTAACGCTCTTAACAAGCTTTACGTGCTCGGCGAGTCGTAAACGGATCGGCTTATTTGCAATCAATAGTAAAGAGTGATACAATCTAGTAAAATGTTTCTTTTTTTTTCTTCGCAATTTAAAGTGCAAACTTCAGCTGTAATATGCTCATCTCGTATTTCTTGGCCTATAACCTCGGAAGGCCCAACACTTTAGCCTCCAGTTTCTGCTGCTGGACCACCTTTAAAGCTGGCTGTAATTCTTTTATAAAAGACATCGCAAACCAAAGCCAGCATTTGTTGACAGTTTGTGGTCTGGCTAGGTCATTTTACGCTCCGTAGTTTGCCATTGTTACCTTTTGCATTGTTTGGAGTAAACAAGGCAGGCCGAGAGCGGGATCAAGATGCAGAGGCAACACATAGTCTCTACAATACTGCTCAGACTTTGTGCTATGGAGAGGTTGAACTTCACACTTGCCATCGCCTTGGGTGGTGATTCCCATGCTTCCCATAGCACAATATGACACTATCATCTGCAAAGACGCAACGGTGCCAGGGACCGGGGTTTATCCCTGCTGCCTAAATAGTCAACGCTCGATAACGATGTTGAAGTAAATGCAAAACAATATGTAGCCAAATCGTCTGCAGCTGAATCAGTCTGAGTATATTTGAGTTATGAGTTTCGTTCGTAACCCCTAAGTCACAATCGTCGACTTGATAATTGCGAAGACTCGATATATGTGTGTCAATATATATGAAAGGTTTACATGTTTAAAAACTTGATATTTGTGAAGATTTGATGGCATCGAAGACTTGATATTTGTGAAGATTTTATTAATTTGGCAACTTGATTATTGTGAAGATTTGGTAATTTGGAAGACTTGATATTTGTACAGCTTATATTTGCGAGACTTGTTGAGAAGGGTATCCGTAAATACATTATTGATGAAGACTCATAATATATCTGATGTCTGTCATGACTGGATAGTCGTATAAACCTTGTTGATGAAGACTGGATGCTAAAGAAAGCTAGGTGTTGATGAATACTGCATGTCGATGAATTCTGGATACTGACGAAAAACTAAGTTTTGATAATGACTGAATGTTGACGATGACTGGGTGCTGATTATGAATAGATGTTGATGAATACTGGATATTGATGATGGCTGGATGTTGATAAAGACTGGATTTTGATGATGGCTGAATGTTGATAAAGAATGGATTTTGATGATGGCATAATGCTCAGGACCTGTGGAGGAAGCGTGGATGTTGAAGAAGACTGAATGGTAATGAACATTTGAAGTATTTTTTTTTAAGAAAACTAGTTTAATGGAGGCGTAATTATGCATTCATGAATCAAATCTTTTTTGCCACGAGAAGTCCGTTCCTTGCCTATTTTCAAGTAGAAGTGTTGAGGTCTATGGCGTTACCCTTATGTTATTTCAATGATCACTTGATGGCGGATGTGACTAGTATCACACCTGCTACCTTTACCGGACATTTACGTATCTGTTGGCCTAAAAGCCCAGGTCCAATTCCTACAGAAACAGTCAATATCTAGGGAATTAATCAAGTAACGCAAAGTGTATTGATCGACACTCATAGAAAGAAGTATAAAGATAGAAGAACACACTAGGCATCATAAAAATCGAAAGCTATAGTTACCGTGCCAGGAATTGAACCTGTCACCTCCAGACGGCGTGTGCGCCTTGCCGTGGATACAAGTGCACTAAGAACATTGTCAACTAGGCACCCCCCCCCCCCAAAGTGTCTTATTGGCCATGTCTGTCGTACAGCTTGAAATCCAATATCTAGGGATGGACACAATCCGACTGGCGGGAAAGTGTGTCAGTCACTGTCGTATCAAGACAGGCTCCAACTGACAGGTCATGCTGCAGACGTCACAAAACCAAGCTAACGATACGCTAACGCAGCGATTCTTAAACTGGGTGCCACGCGCGTATGTTATGGGTGCCGCGACATTATTCTCAAAAAAAAAAATCAAAAATCCAAATATGCTTGACATTAAATTTGCAGTTTTTCTTTTCTTCTTCTTTTCTGAAGTGTTCAAACAGCTTTAAGGGCAGGGATGCCGCGAGATTTGTTTCTGCCCGACGAAACAGGTTTGAGAAACGCTGCGTTCACGTATCGTTAGCCCGGTTTGGTGACGTCAGCAGCAAGTTCTGTCAGCTGGAGCCAGTCTTGGTTGTAACCATGTTGAGGCCTTAAGCTAAATAAAATTCTGAGGCCCCTACCGTTGTAAATTGCATTAGGTAATTTCAGACAACTTTAAGATATAAATGCGTTTTAAATTTGGATATTGGAAATTTCTTATTTAATTATTATTAAAATAAACAATAAAGAACCTGTTTCATATTCAAAATCACATGATTATATTATATAATCCTCTAAAAAGCTTTATGTAACAACTTAAAACATTTTTACTAGTATAATTCTCAGTCTCGTCATCCCTTTGTGGGATGCAATTTTTAGTTATTTTGAAGCCCGACCCTGGCTTTTGCCGGGAGCCCTAAATATGGCCGGGCCTGAAATATGGCTGAACGGGGTTTCCGGTACCTCTCCACGTGTGATCCTCATCCATGTGGTGGCACTTTGTGTCACCGTGTGTTTATCGCTTGTCTGATATTTTTAATAGGGTGACAAATGATCTGATAGCTACATCTGGTGGGGTACAACTTCCATATATACATATATTTTTTACTAGGGTGACAAATGATCTGATAGCTACATCTGGTGGAGTACAACTTCCATATTTACATATATTTTTTACTAGGGTGACAAATGATCTGATAGCTACATCTGGTACTGGTTTTGCCACAACCTCCATGTATAATATGTACAGTGAGAAATGCAATTAAACGAAAATGTACACAAGGCTGTTAAAAACGTGCATGTTGTCATCTCTTTGTTTGTTTGCTTGTTTGTTTATGTTTGCGTTGTTTTACTCATCAAGCAAATAGTAAGTAAAGGACCACTTTCCACGCCTTTAGGATATTGGGCATATAGGGCTAGATCTACATTTTACAAAAAAAGGTAAAGTCGGGAGATGTGAACCAGCGTCATTGCACACAGTTATAAACCATAAGTTCTCTGCCACAAGTACGGACAGCTGATAAGAAATTGTCCGCCTGTGTCGCCTTCCGCACGTAACTCTGTAGCTACAGCGACGTTCCTCCATTTACCCCAGCGTGTCAACTCTGGATCCCCTTTCCTAGAGGCTGGGTGAACCCCTGGAACCGCCCAGTTTCGAACACAGACAGTGGCTGCAGCGAGTCGCAGCTGGATTTGAAAGCGAGCTAACGCGGCCACGGTTTTACATTTTACATACCAATCGGCACTTGGTGGGTGATTTGGTCAGCATCACGCCAGCAACCTTTACTTCCCATGATTGTACCTGGTACCTGCTCAAGGCTCAGTCGACATGGGAGCCAATGCTATTCATAAAAAAAAAAAAAAAACGGCTGCGTTAGGACCCGAACCAACGACCTTCTGTACTATGTTGAGTTGGTATCACTCATAGTGACCGGCCAGCAATACGTATAATTTTACTTGTTGTTGTCAGCGGCCGACAATATCGCGAGTTCTATATTCCACGATCAAACGTATTTCTGACAGAACAGATCAACAATATATCAGATATTCATTTTACGGCACATAGCAGAGCAAAATTGGACATATAGAAAAGATGTACAAAATGTTTTTTGTGGATTTCAAAAATGCTTATGATAGTGTGCATAGAAACAGTATATGGAATGCTATGAAGGACTTTGGAATATCAACAAAGTTAATTTGTATGACCAAACTGTGTATGGAAGACACTCGCAATATAGTAATATATAAGTGCAGAAAGTCAGACCCTTTTCAAATAACATCTGGTTTAAAGCAAGGTGATGCTCTGTCCCCACTTTTTTTTCCACTTGGCCCTGGAGGAAATTATAAGAAAATTGAAACAAGAATGTACTATAGGAGAAACTACAAGAATACTTGGATATGCTGATGACATTGATATCGTTTGAGAAAATGAACTAGAGACTGTCAAAACACTGAATGTCTTAAAAGAATCAGCTCAGAAAATGGGACTAGTTATCAATCAAGATAAGACAGAATACATGATTATAACTAGACAGGAAAAGGATATAATCTCCGGCCACATACAAGTCGATAATATGAAGATCAAACGAACGGAAACACATACGTGCTTGGGTGCAAACTTCAACTGCTTGAACATGCTGAGAAAAGAAATACAATCTAGAATAAAATCTGGAAATAAAGTATACTATGCCCTTCAACATCTGCTAAAGTCAAAGTGTCTGTCTCGCAACACCAAGATCAAAATATATAAAACGTTGAAAAGACCAGTCGTGTTATATGGCTTTGAAACTTGGAGTACAACTAAAAGAGATGAAGCTTTATTACAGGTTTTCGAAAACTGAGTCTTTCGACGAATCTTTGGACCGATCAACGAAATTTATAATCTGTTAAAATCACCACTGGTCACTGGCATCATGAGAGCTAATAGACTGAAATGGTTGGGGCATATTGAAAGAATGTCAGATGTCAGAGAATTAAACACTATACACCAGGGAGATGAGTGGTCGTAAACCACGAGGGAGACCAAGAAGACGATGGAGAGATAATATCCAGACAGACCTGAAAACATTTGGTGTTACC